CCCAATTCATTTCTGATTTTGTTAATCTTCATGTTCTCTCTCTGTCTTAAGGTGAGTTTGCATAATGGTTTGTCTATCTTGTTGATTTTCTCAAAGAACCAGCTCTCTGTTCCTTTATATTGCTTTATTTGTTCCTACTTTATTGATTTCAGCCCCCGCTTTGATTATTACCTGGCATCTACGCTTCCAGGGTGAGTGTGCTTCTTTTTTTCTACTACTTTCAGTTGTGCTGTTAATTCTCTAGTGTGACTATTCTCCAGTTTCTTCACTTGAGCAATTAGTGCTATGAACTTTCCTCTAGCACTGCTTTCAATGTGTCTCATAAGTTTGGGTATGTTGTGTCTTCATTCTCTTTGAATTCTAGGAAGTCTTTAATTTCTTTTCTTTCTTCCTTGAGTGAGGAATGGTACATTTGCACATTGTTCAATTTCCATGAGTGTGTAGTGTTTCTGCAATTTGTGTTGTTGTTGAATTTTGACTATAACAATGGCAGTCTGATAAGATACAGGGGTTATTCCAATTTTTTTGTACCTGCTGAGGTTGTTAAGTTGCCGAGTATGTGGTGAATTTTAGAAAAGGAACCATGTGGTACTGAGGAGAAGGTCTATTCATTTTTGTTTGGATAGAATGTTCTATAGATGTCTGTTAAACGAAATTGGGTCAAACTTCTATTTGTTTCTTTGTTAAGTTTCTTGCTCATGGTCCTGTCTAGTGGTGAGAGTGCTATGTTGAAGTCTCCCACTATAAGTGTATGAGGTTTTATGTGTGATTTGAGCTTAAGTAATGTTACTTTAATGAATGTGGATGTTTTTATATTTGGGGCATAGATGTTCAGAATTGAGACTTCATCTTGATAAACTTTTCTGTAATGAATATGAAATGACCTTCATCATCTCTTTTGATTGATTTTAGTTTGAAGTCTTATTGGTTAAATATTAGGATTAATATATCAGCTTGTGTCTTGGGTTCATTTGATTGGAAAATCTTTTCCCAGACCTTAACTCTGATTTAATATATGTCTTTGAACTTGAGGTCTGTTTCTTGTATGCAACAAAAGGATAGAATTTGTCTTCTTATCCACTCTGCTAGCCTAAGTTCATTTATAGGGGAGTGAAAACCAATTTTATTGACTATTAATTCTTGTTTGTTTAAGATTTGTTGTTGGTGGCAGTATTGTGTGTGGAATTCCTCCCCCCTTTTTTCTTTAGGCTTTTGGTGAAGTGAGACTATCTGTTTCCTATGTTTTAGTGAGTGTACTTTACTTTTCAGGTTTTCCTTCCAGTACCTTCTCTAAGGCTGTATTTGTGGATATGTATTTTTTAAATCTGTTTGGGTCATGGAATATCTTGTTTTCTCATCTATAATGATTGAAAGATTTGCTGGGTATTGTAGTCAGGTTGGCATATATGTTCTCATAGCATTTGTAGAACAATAAACAAGGACCTTCTGGTTTTCAGAGTTACCATTGAGAAGTAGGGTGTAATTCCTGATAGGTCAGCCTTTATATGTTAATTAGGCATTTTCATTTGCAGCTCATTCTTGCAGAATCCTACCTAGGTCTCAGAGCCACACCAACCCAAATGAACAGACAGGAGGCTATATTAATTATGAAGCTGTTGGCTGTTTGCTTGTTTCTTATTGGCTAGATGTGGCTTAATTATTAACCCATAATTACTAACATATATTTCTATAAGGGCTCATCTTTCATAGAACCCCAGACTTGCATTCTTTCTTCCATTGATCACATGGTACAACTCTCTTCCTACATTTCCCAGAATTCTCCTAGACTCCTAGTCCCTCCTCTCTTGCTTCCCTATTGGCCAACAGTGCTTTATTCAAATCAGACACTTATTTGCCAAATGACATCTCCCAACAGCTCCTAATATTTGTCCTTTATGCTGTTAGTGTGGTCTATTGATTATTATGTGGCCAGGGAATTTTTTGTTGTTGTTGAGTCTATTTGGTGTTCTGTAAGCTTCTTGTACTTTCATAGGCATGTCCTTCTTTAGGTTGGAAAGTTTTCTTCTATGATTTTCTTGAATATATTTTCTGTACAATTGAGCTATATTTCTTTGCCTTCTTCTATACCTATAATTCTTAGGTTTGACCTTTTACATTCTTTCATATTTCCTACATATTTTGTGTGAGGGATTTGTTGGACTTTAAATTTTCTTTACTTGATGTCTCTATTTCCCCTAGTGAGTCTTCAATACCTGAGATTCTCTCTTCCATATCTTGTATTCTATTGGTTATGCCTACATTTGTAGTTCCTGATGATTTATCCAGCTGTTCTATTTCTAGTATGCCCTCATTCTGTGTTTTCTTTATTGTTTCTATTTCAGGTTTCAAGCCTTGTTGTAATGTTTCAATTGTTTCCTTCATTGGTTTGATTGTTTTATCTTGGCTTTTCTTGCTTTCTTAAAGAGATTTGTTTATTTCTTGAACTTTCTCTTTTTTCTTTTTCTCCAATTTCTGTATTTTTTCCTCCATTTCTTTTAGGGATTCTCTGATTTCCTTGTTTAGGAACTCTATCACCGTCATAAAATTATTTTTAAGGTTCTTCTCTTCAGCTTCATCTGTGTTGGATTGTTTAATTCTTGCTGGTGTAGAGTCCCTAGATTCTGGTGGTATCATATTGGTCTTTCTATTGCTGATTGTCTTCATATATTGTCATCTTCCTATCACTTCTTCCAGTGTGTACAGATGGGGTCTCTCTCTCCTCTCATTTGCAGGTGCATGTAGATGGGTAAAGACTTCAATGTCAGCAACACTTCATGGTCAGAGGTCTCTTGAAGTTCTTAAGCAGAGAGTGTAGTGGGTCAAGACTGCAAAGAAGACAACTTTGAATGATTTGGCTTGCTGGGGTGACTCCACTCATGTAGAGGGCATAAGAGGGGTCAAGACTCATGCAGAGAGAGTAGGGGGAGGGAAGACTGTGATAAGGTTCTGGCATGATGGAGCAGGTCCACTACACAGAGAGCCAACCCATGAAGTTCCAAGGAGAGGATGGGGGAAGTTGGACCTGAGCAGGCCCCACACTCATATCAAGTGGAGGGCATTGGGAGAGTAAGAATGCAATGTGGGCAATCTCCATGTGGTCCAGCATGCCAGGGTGGGTCCACTACTCATGGAGCTGACCTAGGAAGTTTAAAGGAGGTGAGGGTGGCTGTTGGACCTGAGTGAACCCACACTCACCTCAAGCAGAGGACATGGTGGAGGGCAAGACAGAAAGAGTATGTTTACTCCCTAGCACTGTACATATAGTTCCACCATTTGTAGAATCTTGGTTTTATTTAAATTCCAAATGTATTTTTTTAGCACTCACATCTCAGTTTCTTCTGAATGTTGACATTTCTGATATAAGCTGTGTTCATAGCATTTTGGGGCTGAATGAGATGACTCATGCTCTAGGCTGCTCTCAGCATTCTCTGACTACTCTACATTTGTCAGGTGGATTATGGTGTGTACTGGTATGGGTCTCTCTGAGATAAACACAAATTAAATTAAGTCAGTGTGGTGGATTTATAGTTATTATATTTTATCAATCCAGGAGGGTGAGACAACACTTTTTCCCAATAACTTACTCCGCTCACCAAATTCTTCAACTTCTTTTCTTTATTGTACTCCAACCATTCAGTGTTGATTGAGTAATGTTATTGAATCCATTTCCATTATTTTATCTCATTATGTTAGAATCAGCTAAATCCTACGTGGACCCTATCCATGGCACTTCTTAGTTTTATACTTCTCCACACACCAATATCATTTTATTCCTTCTCAGTTTAACTCCATTTGCTATTCTTATTTTGCTATCCAGACTCTTGACTTTCTTTACTACTTTTCCACACATTCTATTGATCTTTTCATGCTTCATATAAATTCTGTAGTCTTGTTCTTTTAGAATAATATAGGGAAGTAGTGTCCAATCATACTAGCTCACCAAATTCCTCTCAACAAAAAGAGGAAAGCAGAGTTATAATTGTGGGAGTGAAGTTACTGAGGGTATAAGACTGGGAAGACATGTAACAAGGGAGAAGCCATCCAGATGACCACATCATATGCAAGGAAATAAACAGGGCCTCTTATAGAGTGGGGTGCTATGACAACATGCTTATTACCTTGTCATAGCAAATTAGAACTTCTGACCTCCAAAACATGAAAAAACTGTTTCGATTATGCTAAAAAACTAACGTTATTATAATATGTAGCATTGTCCTTGAAGTATATAATGCTGGGTCTGCAGATATGAGTCAAGATTTAAGAGCACTTTCTAATTTTCTAGAGAACTAATGTTTCATATTCAATAAGCACATGATGTCTCAAAACCATCTGTAATATTAGTTGGAATGAATCTGGCACACCTTCCTGCCTTTCTTGAGCATCAGGAATGCATGTGATGCAGCAATATAACTGCAGGCAAAACATCCATATATATAAAATTAATTAATCTATTAATCAATCACTTAATGTGATTATAATGCATAATTTAAAATGATTAACTTAGACTGAGGCTTTATTTCCCCCAATTAAGCTGTATGTTATTGTATATTGGGAGCTATCTATGTTGTTATCACTAAATCAACCCTATCCTGAACCTGGGAATAAACCTGAGAATCTTGTAATAAAACACACATCTCACTAACAATACAAAACACTTAAATTCATGCCAAGTAATCACACCTAATAGTATTACACAAGTAGTGTCTCATGCCATGTGAACAGAAAATGAAAACAAAACAGATACTGGAAGAATCATGAGTATTTCTTATATTGGAAGAAGCATGAGAATTTGAAACAGAATTGGGCCATCTATCAGAATACTGCCAAGTTTTTAGGGTCTCTGTGATTCATTTCCTCAACTTTACAATATTTTATTAAGAGACCCAGGTGAGATGAACAATGACTACATGCATGTTGTGTTCTAGTAAGTAGCAGTGATTACAAAATTGATGCGCTTACAGGTTCCTTTTAATATGAGGACTAATAGATGTTTCCTGCAGGAGCAGCCAGGGAAGAGTTGAAAATCACTCAGCCTGAGAAGTCGATTTCTGTTTCTCCAGGAGAGTCAGCCACTCTGAACTGCACTGTGAACTCCCTGCTTCCTGTGGGACCCATTGTGTGGTACAAGGGTGTAGGGAAACATCGACAGTTTTTCTATAGGTTCACAGGAGAGCAGTTCCCCAGAGTCAAAAATATTACAGATACTTCACAGAGAAAAAACATGGACTTTTCCATCAGCATCAGTAATGTCATACCTGGGGACTCTGGTACCTACTATTGTGTGAAACTCCGCAAATCAGAAGATGACAAGGAGTTTCAGTCTGGGGGAGGCACAACGTTGTATGTTCATGGTGAGTACTGCATTATCCTCTTCATCTTCATATCTCCAAGAAATCAAAATGTATCCAAGATTCTGTGATCAACAAGGTAGAAGCAAGTCTATAAGTGACTCTCATGTTCATAGGGTGATGTTACCCCAAATGTGGACCAAGGAAGCAAGGGCTTGTGCATGTTATTGGATAGAGGTCCTCCTTCTGGTAAATGTGAGTAAATTCATACCACTGACTGCCTGCCCACACAGTGCTTACCTTTCTCAATCTCTCCCAGCCTAGTGTCTGTATGAAGATCCTGAAAGCTGCCTGTCTTGTTCAATGAGAAGTTCAGACCCGGCCTTCCATTTCCAGAGTGGACTTCTTCACATGACAAGTCTTCTCTTTCTGCTCCAAAGCCCTAGGGCCTAGTTGTGCCAGGTTCCACTCTAGACACCAATGGAGATGGCAGGAAGCAGGAGTTCCTTACCCAATATGTGTTTCTCCTCCTTCATAAGAGGAAAGCACGTATCACAGAAAATCAAAGGGGCATGTCAAGGTGTGCTTTTCTAATTTGTCCTTCATCCACAGAACACTGAGAATGTTCAGAGTATGACTACATTTGCTGTGGAATCTCTCAGCCCTGGTTTAGATGTCAGCATGAAGCTAGGTTTTTGTCATGGGTCTGTCTGATGTAGTTATTTTTTTTTAAATCAAGGACAAGTTCTGACAGGCATTGAAGGTTTAGAGCATTGTAGGCAGATCATGGAGAGTGTGCCCAAGCAGAAAACCTTTAATCACTAGCTGAGACAACAGGATATTAACTTGGAATTTCCTGTCAGAGGCATGGATTCTGTCTTACTAGCTCTTGATTTTTGGAATTTTGCAGCACAAAGAACAATCAGATTCTTGATTTCAACCCTATTGAGATATAAATCTTTGTGTTCCAATAATAATCCCATAGCCAGTAAGTGTTAAAATGTAGCCTTGAGGCCATAGCTGAATTCACATCAGCTTCTTGATGTCAAGTCCAGAGATATCATTTCTACACAGGATCCAGTTACAGAAGAGATTCAGAAGTAGAATTTTCTGAAATCAGCTGCCAGCATTTTGATTCATCATCATGTCACCCATGTTTCAAGGTGTTGTTCACACAGATGCTAATATTCAGTAGGGATAAGAAAGTTACCTGAATGTAAGTCATACTCACAGCCCATATTGAAACTGAGAATTATGTAAAGATAAAGCATAATATCCCCACATTTAGAGATGCTCTATATCAAATTCCAGGTCACCAATGTATCATGTGTTTGTTTTTGTGGGTGCTGTTGTACTGTAAATGTGGACAAACTCATGTAGCCACCATCCTGGGCAAACCTCTGGAAGAGGCCTGGTGGGTTTGAAGGTTAATTAATTTATAAGAATGTTATCATTTTCCCACATTGGTGTAGTAATTCAAATCTTCTCACAACCCCTCAACAAAGAGAGATATGGAGATTGACTTCATACTGACTTTGTAGACATCATAAATCGGTACACTGAAATTCTAGGTAATACAATGCTTAGGCAATCACAATCATCAAGTGACTCAGGTAAGATGCAATCCCTAGCCTTCCAGGGATACAAGATTCACCTGCCATGTAATTTGCCCTAAGGATGCCCTTGATGAGCAAGTAAGTAGAAGAAGGGAAAAGAAGCAGCAATGTGCTACATGTGACTTCTCTTTTACTACATTTTTCAGCCTAAGTATGTGCTATAGGGGACTGGTCATTTGTTCCCTTTAGAGAAGACCCCAAGTTTCATAAAGGAAGCAGGCAAGAAAGACGCAATATTTGACTATACCGTCATGCCATATAGAGTAACACAGCATACATGCTATACTGACTACAACTTATTCTGAGCAGCAGACACAGAATGTAGCTGCCTTCTGTAAGGTCTTGAAAATGTGATCTGTCCATGGGAAAGGAGAAAGATGGGTCTGCAGGAACCTCAGAGCTCTAGATCTAGAGCCTCCTGTCCTGAGTCATTGAAGCAGAGATTTGGTTTAGAATACTTCAATTCAAATTATTAGAGAAGAAGCACCAGAGTCAGTGGCAGAGTAAATGAAAGTGAGGGCACAGGAGATGGCCTCTGAGATCCAGAAGGGAAGAGGAGACAGAGTTTCTGTTTCAGCCTCAGTGTCCTTGTCTGTGGCATGGTGATAGTCACACATCCTTTAGAGGGAAAGTTTAATTCACTGTATAACATCTGACACAGCAACTTCACCAAATCCAGGTGGAATGATAGTTGTACAACATTAAGTAACTTATTGAAATTGAACCTCAGTTTTCCTTTCTGTAGAATGTGGATACTTTCACCAAATTTTCCAGTGTTCAATGAATTCCCAGGGAATTGTGGAGAGATGGGCATTAAGTAAGCCATGAGTGAGAAAACCTTGCTGTCTGCGGAGTCCTCTGTTTCCCTTTCCATAATGATGACAGTCATGTTTCCTGGTGAATATTATGGACACATCCTATATAGTGATTTCCGAATTATGTCAGGGCATCCTTAGTTCAGTGCTTTACAGGAGAGAGGATTGTGACTACATTTCTTGATATGCATCCCAGTACCACATTCTGATGTTTGCCCAGGACAGCTTTTCACACAAGGTCTCATATGATAGCCTCTCACTGCTAACAAAATATATACACAGACTATACTAATGGAGTGCAGTCATATATCACACTTAGAGAAACTACTGATTTTTAAGAAGCATTTCAGCAATGTCAGCTGTGTTACTCAAAGATTATGTGACCTTGAACATTTGAATTTTCCTCTCCAGTCAGTCCTTAGTTAGCAATGAAGTTATGGTTAGATTGGCTGTTCTCCACCGGGATGCTCTTTGGAATAACCTTGTATGTTAAGAGGAATTCCAGATCTTCGTTAATTTAAATGGTCTGATATGACTTTTGGCATCTTAAAAATCTAATGACTCCAGAAGGTTCTAATACACAGCCAGGGTTAAAACCTACTCATGTACATTGGTGAAGCAACAGGAGATATTTAGGATTACTACCATTATTGAGCTTCAGGTCACTAAGTTGAGCCAAGACAGACCCATATGCTTCATAATAGGTCCCAGCCTGCTGAACATATCCCCCTGAAGCACAAGTAATATGCCTTTTTTATTTCCCAGAGAGAAAATCCCAGATATCGTAAGGTTCACCCAAGACAGAGGCCCATTCAATTGGAATCACAGGGCAAACCTTTTCTATATTGCACAGTTCCTTATTAGAACATTTTCTCTTTTAGACCTTTCCCTTTTCTTCAGTACTCCATGTAAATGGAAAAGTAGGTCACTAAGCTTTGTTAATTTTCCTTCTCATGGTCATCAACTCTCTATGACACCCCCTGTGGAGGAAGTCCTTGTTTTTCTGATTATATAGCAAAAGCCACTGGCCAAGTTAGTAAAAGGATCACTAGGAAAGAGAAGGATGCCAGGATATAAAAGAGCAGTTCTCAACCTGTGGGTCATGACTCATTTAGAAGATAGACTACAATTCAGATTTTATTTTATGATTCATAACAGTAGCAAAATTACAGTAAGACTAAGCAACAAAGATAATTTATCAATGGTGTCACCGTACTTTATCCAGCATAACTTGGACACACATGTACTCTGATCTTCATGCAATCAACAATTTGGTCACTGGAAACTGGGTAGTGTCACGATGTCCGGAAACTGCTGACACATGCTGATTGACTATAGTTCCTCAAACCTGTAGGGACATAAGGTGCTTTAGCATTTATTTATCTTGATTAACACTTGTTTACACAAGGGATACCACAGATTGATATAAAAAACCCTGAAAACAAATTTAAAAAACAAAACAAAACCAAAAAAGCCTTGAGGAGTATGAACAGTTAAGGACTGTAGCTATAACACACCTATGGCCTTAGATTAGAGCAGGTCCTTAGTGTGGCTAAGGCTCTGGTATTTTTCCCAATAAATACTGATGATGGCAATAGTGTCCAGGAAGGTTCTTCACAATGTTATTTTATCAGTGGTGGCTATCACAATCACATCCTTGTCTATATGCTCATTTTTAGCTACACCATCTGTTCCTGAAGTCTTGGGTCCTGCACCCAAAGCTGCACCTGAGGAGAAAGTGAACTTCATATGCAGGTCTCAGGGCTTCTCTCCTAGCAACATCAGCGTGAAGTGGTTCAAAGATGGAAATGAGCTCTCTGACATCCAAACTACTGTGAAGCCAGAATTAAAAAGCCACACCTACAGTGTCTTCAGTACAGCACCGCTGGTGCTTCATATTGCGGATATCAACTCTGAGATTATCTGTGATGTGGTCCATGTCGCATTGCAAAAAACCACTCTCCGTGGGTCTGCCCGTTTGTCTGATATCATACAAGGTAAATGACACAGAGTCGCAGCACAAACTAATATCTGTTCAGAATGGTCTAGTCCATAGCATCCAACAAGCATTTATACATATCACAACCAGTGGGGATCATAGACTGTGATCAGCATATAAAGAAAATTATATTTACTTTAGCAGAATAAACCACATCTATATTGATTATGAGTTACCCATCATACCTAGCAGTTTCATGTGTTTTACTGTTGGTGGTGGTGTTTTCCCAGTACACAGGGGAGTTGTACTTATTGGTTTCACTTACTATGGCACACACTGACCCCACCACTGCCTGTTATACTGTGTGTTAGGAGTTATGGTAGTGGTTCTACTGCAGCACAAATATTCATCCTGCCCCATAATGCACTTGCAAAAGGGTTGGATCCTACTTACTTCAGTCCCTGATTTGGAATCTGTCTGCTTAGGTTCTGTCTTTCTCAGCTTCTGCTTGTGCTTTTTCAGTTCCACCCACCCTGGAGATGAGTCAACAACCATCAGAGGTTAGGAATCTGACATATATTGCCTGCCATGTGAAGAAGTTCTACCCTTTGCGCCTTCGATTGAGTTGGTTTGAGAATGGAAATATATCCCGGATAGAAGAGCCTTCTACATTTACAGTAAACAAAGATGGAACCTACAGTTGGAACACTTGGCTCTTGTTGAAGACATCTGCTCAGGAGGGCAACCTGGTAGTCACCTGCCAGGTTGAACATGATGGGCAGCCACCAATCATTAAAACCCATACTGTAGTGGTCAATGAAAAGCAGAAGGAGGAAGGTACTGACACCACATCTGGTGAATCTCTGCCTCTTCCTTACTATTAGTATATTTTTTGCCTCTTTTATTTTGAATGTCAAAGGTAGCATTTATGTTTGTTTTATCATAATCCTTTTATCTGCAAAACAAGTAGAATGTTAAAAGTCAATTTTTATCAACTATCTCACAGGTGTCATATATTGTTGACATTCACAGATATTAGATAAGGGAGACATGAAAGCATCATCCTACCCTAGCACCCCATCTCTTCCTATTTTTACCTTACCTTTGTTATGACCTCATGTTTATTTTCTTTCTTTTGAACATCTTCCCTGTTTCCATTTCAATACAGTTTTCTATGAATATCCGTGTCATCACCCTGTGTCTTATACAATCACCTGAATATAATTTCAACAGGTCTCCTGAGGACCTGTAGTTTTCCTGTAGATGAAGAATAAAACTAACTATGTGGTCATTATAGTGGCTTCATTTTCTCATGCTTTGTTGTAAGGGGGAATCTATGTATCCAGACCCTGACTGATCTCCTTTTGCATGCAAATTTCAGTTTGGCTGTGTTTTGCGCCTTTCATCAGTGACCTTATGATTCATCAGTTTTACAAATGGGAATCTAAGCTGGTGGTGGTGACACATGCTTTTAATCCTAGCACTCAGGAGGCAGAGGCAGGCAGGTCTTCGTGAGTTAGAGAACAGTTCAGTCTACAAAATATACTGAGAAACTCTGTCTCAAAAAGCAAAAACAAACAAAAAGACAGGAAATACAGGGGTGGTGAAGCAGGAGAAATGTTAAGTTCTTTTATTTATTTTTTTTAATTTATTTTTCAGTTTAAATTTAGATAAGAAACAAGGTTGCTTCACAAGTCAGTTCCAGGTCCCTGTCCCTTTCCCTCCCCTCCTCCCGTGCCCTCCCCCCAGCCCTCCCCCATTATCCCCTCATTTCCCCAGGGAGGGTGAGGCTCTCCATGGGGGTGTCCATAGTCTGTCATTTCATATATGGCAGGGCCTAGACCCTTCCCCAAGAGTTCAGGGTGAGAGTGCACCTCACATTGTTGGAGTCCAAAGTCCGTGTGTATACTCGGGATGGGTACTGATCTGATGCCCAAGGCTCAATAGATTACCTAGGCCTCCTCACTGACACTCACATTCAGGGGGTCTTGATCAGTCCCATGCTGGATTCCCAGGCTGATGCCTGGGATTCAAGAGTTAACCTTTGTCAGGTCAGCTGTTTCTGGGGGTTAAACCAGCCCAGTCTTAATCCCTTTGGTCATCAGTCCTCCCTCTCTGTTACTGGCTTTCTTGAGTTCAGTATGATCAAATTAATATACAAAAGGGAAATCTAAGGTCCCTGGAAGCAAGGACATTAAGAGCATCCAAGCCAAATTTTTCTAGTAATGTATTTCCCCTTGACTTGTTACTATCTTAGGACTTATATAGAGATAATTAGAGCCCCCTTCATATGAATATTAGTTATTCCCCTCTCATGAAATACTAGGAATGGCCCTTAACTCCCATGTCATTTTAAAACTCAGGTTCCATGTCATTCATATAGATTTTGTTGTGAGCATCATCTGCTGGATTAACATTACATCACCATCAAAACAGTAAATTCAGAAAGTACTGGCTCATTAGTGCATGACTTATGTAGATGCTGTGTGTATGCATTTATACCCCCATGATGGCTCTGTCATGTGTAGTCATACAATGAAACTCAATCCACAGTATGTGCTCAGGTTAATAATAACATTTTTATTCAGAAACAATACAATAATCACATTCAATAAAATAAACCATAATTACCAACAACGATCTCAAATTCACTATATTTTATAAATTGCTTTATGACTTTTGTGTATGACAAAACCTTATATAGTTTGCCAAATAACAAATAAATTTAGAAACTTTTGTACATTTTATCTGAGTTTTCAAGCTTCTTGCATAAATTTTATCTGATGATAATATTGTCTACTTTAAATGTAAGTATATGTGTATGTGTAATTATATAGTGATGTTCCCCCTGGTATTGAGGTGGAAAACTTGGTATCTTTTCCTTCATTCAGTCAGTCTTTCTGAGAGATTTCCAATATTTTCTTTTTCTAAAACAAACTCAGTTTGGGCATCATATTTACTTTTTCATTTTCTATTTCATTAATTATCCATGTTTGCTCTTCAGTAATATTATAAGAATTTGACGAAAATACTTATGGTACATTAGATGATTGATATAAAGGAAACTGAGGTCCTATCTTGGAAATCTTAGTGAAATTCATAGAAGACTTTTTAAAATCAACACAAATGGAAATAAACTGTATTAGAAATTTTGTTAGAGTTTGAGAGTAAAAAGTCCCTTGAATTAGCTAGCTTTTAATCTCAGCGTGTTCCCAGAGTTTGATAATGTAGCAGAGAAGGTGAAAAAAAGTAAACAAACAAACAAATGAAAAACCTATGCTATGTAATGGAACACAGAAGTCAGATACATGTTGGTTATCTGGTAGAGATGGGGCCTTGAAGACACAGTAGTGCAGCCCATAGAACAAGAGAAAACAAGCTTTAGAAATAGACAGCATTCAAAATATATAGCAAAATAGGACTCAGAAAGGTGAGAAGAAATTGCTATACTTCATTACAGCTCACCTAACAAGAACTGTACTGGAAGGAGGATTTTTGAGAGCAAAAGGAGCAGTATCTCATTAAAGGAATAATTATTCCACCTCTTTATATAGCATGGCTTATATTTATTTTTTCTTCCTAGGGACCAAATTGAGAATCGATTCTCTTGATCTGATATTTACTTAGGCTTTTGATGCTACTCTAAAGATAATATTCCCTTCATTCTGCTTCCTCCTTAATTTACTTTGGTCTTCTTGTTTTCCTTGAGGTGTGGTGGTAATTCCTGTCAATGCATCATGAAAAAGAATTTCGTTTCTATGAATAACTATTGTTGGCAGCTTTAATATAACATGTAATGTTTAGTCTTCCTGTCCACCGCCTTGGTCCTGTTGCTATTTTCAGCCTCTAAATAATCCACAAGACTCTATATTAATTATGAAGCTGTTGGCTGTTTTCTTGGTTTTGTATCAGCTAGCTCTGACTTGATTATTAACCCATAATTACCTATATATTGTAAAAATTTTATCTTTTTTAGTATGTACTCCTGAGTGTAAGTTCTTCCTGGGAGGTCACATGGTGACAACTCTCTTCACTATACTTCCCAGAATCCTCCTAGAATCCTAGTCCCACGTAGCTTGCTTCCTTATTGGCCAACGGTGCTTTATTGACATAAACACAGAACAAATTCTCCATCGTCTCCTCTTTTCTGTCTCAACTGAAGAATGGATAGAGAAAATGTGATACATTTACACAATAGAGTACTATTCAGAGGAAAAGAACAGTGGAATCTTGAAATTTGCTGGCAAATGGACATCACTACAAGAAACCATCCTAAGTGAGGTAACCCAGTCAAAAAAGACACACATGGTATGTACTCACTTGTATATGGAATTTAGACATGGATCAGTAGAATGCCAGCCTACAATTCCACTGACAAACAGTCTTGGAAATAGAACCTTTAACCAATGACTGATGGAAGCAGAGGCAGACACCCACAGCTAAACAGTGAGCTGAACTCAAGAAACCCAGTGACAGACAGGGAGGACTGATGAGCACAGAGGTCAAGACTGGGCTTGTTTAACCCACAGAAACAGCTGACCTGAACAAGAGGTAGCTCATGAACACCAGACTGATGGATAGAAATCCGGCATGGGACTGATCAAGACCCCCTGAATGTGGGAAGCTTAGGCAATCTGTGGGACCTTGGGTAGTAGATCAGTATTTATCCCATTTATCCCTGGCATACAAATAGACTTTGGGTGCCAATCCCACAATGAGAGATGCACTCTCAGCCTGGACTCATGGGGGAGGGCCTAGGCCCTGCCTTGAAAGAAATGACAGACTATGGACACCCTCCATGGAGAGCCTCACCCTCCCTGAGGAAAGGAATGTAGACTGGGGGCGGAGGGATGGGTGCTTGGTGGGAGGGCATGAGAGGAGGGGAGGGAGAGGGAGAGAGTGAGGGAGCTGGGATTGACATGTGAAGCAACCTTGTTTCTAATTTAAATTTAAAAATAAAGAAAATTTAAAAACAAAATAAAGTTGAGTATTGTTCTTTAATGGTCTGGAAAGAAATGAGCTGCGATTTTGATGGAGACTGCATTGAATCTCTAGATTGCTATTGGCAAGATTGCCATTTTTAGTACATTGTTCCTACATATACCAGAACATTGGAGCTCTTTCCATTTTCTGGTAACTTCTTTAATATCTTCTTTAAAGACTCAACATTCTTGTTATACAAGTCTTTCACTTGTTTGTTTAGAGCTACTTCAAGATATTTTATGATGCTTGTGGCTATTTTAAAGGATGATGTTACTCTGAGTTCTTACTCAGTCCATTTTTCATCTATATATAGTAGGGCTACAGAATTTTTGAGTTAAACTTTTATCCTGCCACTTTGTTGAAGGTGTTTATCAGCTTTAGGAGTTCTCTGGTAGAATTTTGGGGTCACTTATGTAAACTATCATATCATCTGCAAATAGTGAAAGTTTGACTTCTTTTCCATTTTATATCCCCTTGGTCTTCATTGTTGTCTTACTGCTCTAGCTAGAAATTCAAGTACAATATTGAAGAGATGTATTGAGAGTGGACAATCTTGTTTTGTTACTGATTTCATAGGAGCTGAGTTCAGTTTCTCACCACTAAAACTGATGATGTCTTTTGGCTTACTGTATGTTGTCTTTATCATGTTTAGTCATATTCCTGTTCTCCCTGATCTCTCCAAGTCCTTTACCATGAAGGGGTGCTTGATTGTGTCCAAGGATTTTTCAGCATCTAGTGAGATAAGCATGTAGGTTTTCTTTTCCAGTTTGTATGGATTTTTGTATGTTGAAGCATCCTTGCATCACTGGGATGAAGCATAGTGGATGATTTTTCTGATGTGTTCTTGGATTTGATTTGCCAGTATTTTAGTTGAGTATTTTTGCATCAATATTCAAGATGGAGGTTGCTCTCTAGTTCTCTATCTTAATTGTGTCTTTGTGTGGATTGGGTACCAAGGTAATTGTAGCTTCCACAAAAGAGTTTGGCAATGACACCTTTGCTCCTGTTCTATGGACCAGTTTGAGGAGTGTCGGTATTACCTGTTCTTAGAATTTCTGGTAGAATTTTGCAGTGAAATCATCTCACCCTGAGTTTCTATTGTTTGGGAAACTTTTCATGCCTGCTTCTATTTCATTAGAGGATATAGACATATTTAAATTGTTTTTCTGTTCTTGATTTAATTTTGGTAAGTTATATCTCCAGAAAATGGCCATTTCCTTT